CTGTTCGAAGTCTGGTGGCAAACCCCACTTCGTCGGACATTCCGCCGCTCTGTGGTCCTCATGCCCACAGGTCCAGCAGACCAGCCCGTATCTACCCGGCGTGGGCTTATAAAACCCATGCCTGGTTGACCATGCCTTTCTATTGGGGTCTTCTTCCCACACCTCAGGCTGATCTACTTCTAGCTTGACCCTCCGATTCCACGCGGGGGGTCTTCCGCCTTCCCCACTTCTTCCGACCTCTTGACTTAGTATCTGTTTCCATCCACACCTTTTCACCTTTTCCCATAGGCCCTGGCTCTCCTTGGCCAGCTCTACTGCTGCCGATAGTCTCAGCGGTCCCTCTTTTAGCACGTCGTGACGAACACGCTCGTCATTTAGTGCCTCCACATACAGGTCTGCTAACTGAGCCTGCATGACCGCATTGTCTCTCACCACTTCTGGGAAGTCCAATGATGACAGCTTCCCCGCTCTGGCCCCCAATTCTCCAGGGGTTTCGTCCCGCAGCTGTGTCAGCTTTAGGAGGGCCCTCATGGCCTCTATAGCCGTTCCCTCGTCGGCGAATTCCTTGGTCAATAGTCCCTTTAATCTTTCCCAAGACAAGTGGGGCTCACTCTCCAAGAGCCCCTTCATAAATTCAGACGCTTTCCCCTTCGTGGCATCGTATGCCAGATACAGGGTTTCGTGGTTTGTGAGTTCATATATAACTCGGCTCTTCTCCAGGATTGCCAGCCAGTTTTTGAAATCTTTCCCACTGCCGTCAAATGCTGGGACCCTCGGTCCACCCAACAACCTTCTTAGGTTAGCTGAAAACCCCTGTCTAACCCCCTCTTCATCCCCCACTGCTCTATCTGAATAATAGTCCGACATATAAAGAGAAAGACAATCTACGCAGCAACAATCGAGGTTGGGAAATCAAATAAAGTGTCCTACCTTATAGACGATTCTGTTCTCGTTCCTCTCGGTCCCGGTCGTTTTGAGTCCTATTCGAAATTTCTCAGCAACAGCGGTCGATCCAGGATCCTGTCCTGCTGTCACGGTACCAATTGTGGCAGTGGCTGTTCCAGGGTCCCATCCTATGCTCACGGCACCAGTTGTGACGTGACTGTTCCAGGGTCCTATATCCTATGGTCACGGCACCAATTGTGACGTGACTGTTCCAGGGTCCTATATCCTATGGTCACGGCACCAGTTGTGACGTTGTCCACTGGTCACAGCGCCAACTGTGACGTTCTATTCTGGTCTACCACGGCACCAACTGTGACGTCCCTAAACAGCACCAATTGTGACGTCCTCGCCGCGGCGCCATCCGTTCGCTCCTCGCTGTTCCGTTCGGGTGTCGCTGCTCCAAACGTGACGTCCGCCTGTCGCGTCAGTCGTGTTGTCTCGTCCTGTGACGACCAACTGGCTTGGTATCGGTCGCGGCACCCAAATGTGACGTTCTAACCTTTTGGTGATTCGGGTGGAATCTGGTTAGATTTTTCTATATCAGCCTCGTCGTTCCCAACTCGCTTCCAACGCCTGGTTACCAAGGTAACTGCATTGATCCCCAGTCCGCCTACCCACGTTGTGAATTGATCTTAGGCAGACGAGATCAATCAGTGGTTTGGGCCGTAATGCAAACCGAGTTCAACGGGGGTGATACCACACAAATATGCATAAAAGAAAATAAAATGAAAACTCAAAAGTTCAAAGTATCAAAGAAAAAGGTAACAAACTTTATGTCTAGTTGTTCGATACATAGGACTGCATCTATCTCCCGACCCGTTCTATGGATTGTGACACGTCGTTTTCCATTAGGCGAGTTTTAACGCTTCAAGTTGTTTGCTCTCTAAGAAATTGGTTTTTCTGTGTGTCTTCGGACGAAAGTCGAAAAAAACTTATTGTGGTGGTCTAGATCTAAGTCGCTCTTCAAGATAATTGTTCTTGGGTTGAAGAGGAGTCCGGAATTTGCGTGAATCTTGGTCAACTATCTGCGAGGCGGCTTCAACTGGAGACTCAACTCAAACTTTTCTGGAATTGAACTTACTGGAACTGCTGGAACTGATTTCTGCTCGTTGTGGCTTCGTTTATATGGACGCCGACCAAAACCGGGGTGGGTCTGTCGGCGTCGGGGGGGTTCCTCGATAATTCTAAATACATATCCACCTCTTTTATTTCTGGTTAGGAATTTTCACTTTTTTCCATTTTTGCGAACCTTTCCTCACTCCCACCTTCTCACCATACTTCAGAGGGCGTGAACTTCCCTCCCCACTTCTTCGTAGCAGCTTCTCATACCTACACTCTGGATAGGCGACGATAACCTCCTTCGTGCGTCACGTGATCACCACTTGACCAATGATGTCTTAGTCGGGCGTGGACGAATCCGCGGCTTTGTTTCAGGGAAAAAATATCTTACTTAACTAAAAAAAAATATCCCTTCTTTTCCTTTTCTTCCTCTTAATCGCCGTTATCATTTCTCTAGCCACAAACGGGACAATATGAACAATGGCGGTCATAACTCTTGTTATACACGTGGTTTTCGTCAGGTATTTTATCGCTAATTATCCGAATGGGTGGTCTTCTTAACACGGCCAACGTCGCCCCGAAAAGACATTTCAAAATTCCCATTCATTTCCCTTCGGTACATATTTCTGATAACATAATTTTTATTATCGCAGGCCAAGGATGTTCCGTTGAAAGGATTCGGTCAATGGACAGTCGTGTGTGTGGCTTTGATATAATTAATTTTTCCTATCTATCCAAAGTCCTTTTAGTTGCCTGTTTTTCGTCACTTATCGAAATAACATTTTCATTTGAATTTTTCTTTGGCCAGTCGGTCTGATAATAAGATGCCTTCTCGTACCAATAGTTTGTTTTCATATCCTTAGATAACACAGCCGTCGCCAAAACATATCTGATTCTTTCTTTCTTTCCCTTTCTTTTTACTCAGAATTTCCCTGTCATTGTAATGACACTCTTTCGCCATTTGTTGCTTATCAAAATATCCTTTTATCCATTGCCCCTCAGCCGCGTGTGTGTTCTGCTTATCAGCCACGATTCGGTCCTTAGCCTCTCCTTTTCTTCTTTTCTTTCTTTTCTTTTTCTGCCTCGTTAAATGGTGCCACAGACTTATAAATATGTAAGACAGATTGTGCAGAAAAAAAATTGCATAGCACGACACAGTGAGCCAACTTTTCTAGCAGCAGAACTAGCAACTGATTCAATATAATATTTTGCTTTCATGTCAGCCGAGAACGTTAGCCTGGGAAGGCGTGACAAGTCACTTTACTAGAGGTTAGCATCATCCATACTGATAGAAGACAGAAAACATTCTCTCACATGATTACTTTCCTAAATTTCTAATCACATTAAATTTTTCTTAGTGCCATATTCTTATAAACAGACTCTTATTCTTATAGACAGACTCTTATAAACAGTTTCAGCAAAATTCACCCCCCCACACAACGAGGTGCGAAGTTAGTAGTTTGAATACGTAACTATCCTCATGTGTTTTAAGGAGCTCAAAGTCGGTAGATTATGAATATTTTTTTCAGAATGTGCACTTTGAAATATTCGTCGAAATTGCAGTCGTTTGTAATAAAATGTTTTGCAAGCTCCGTTGATGTCACATCGTTGTGTCTGACATCATATCTTTGGCCAGTGAATCTTTGATTTAATTTTTTCGTTACGTAAGCCATATAAATCAAGTCATATTTGGCACATTGGGCGACGTATATTAAATGGAAATCAGTACAATTGCAACCCTCTGTAGAAATTGTGGTGTTTCCCTTTGAATTTGTCATACAATTGACTAGACTCATGTTGTTTCTCAGCGAACAGGATTTTCCCTTTTTATGAGTGTTTTCTGGAGTACAACGATCCGAAACTTCAACTGGAGTTTTGAGTGTGAACATTTGCATTTTTTCAATTTGTCTGATTTTTTTTTTTCGTTTGAAAGAAACGATAGGCGAGTTGGGAAAATATCTGTAAAACAAGGATATTTTTGCGAAATGTGTTCATAATTGTCATGTAATATTTTCTGCGACAATTAATGACTAATGGCATTCTATCAGAACTTTGTTATTTTTCGGTGTTTTGATCCGGGGTAAAATTATGGCAGTCTTCATTTTTAGCTATTTCATTGGCAATTTGTTTCACTCTTGATAACCAGCTTAACATAATGTCAAATGAAATCTTTAGAATGCTTCCAATAATCTTTTATCTCAGTTCAAATTTGCTTTATGCGAAAAAATTAGAACTTTTGGTTTAATTTTCTCGAGGAGGGGGATCAGAACGGCAGCGAATATAAACGTGTGATGAGCGT